ACAGCTTGCAGACCGGTATTGTCCATTTCACTGGCTACGAGTCCCCCATGATTGATCAGGATTCTTACCAGTTAAAAGATCTTTCGACCCACTAGTTAAAGGTGGCCGATATCAGTAATGGAGTCCCTCGCAGCTCTCAAAACGGAAACGAGATTATTACAAACATTCTATATGCCTGTGATTTTCTTAGGAACAATGGGTTTGTCAAAAAAAAAAAATCAATCCATAGCAAACCAAAAGAGAAATCAGAATGGAATGAATACGAGTTCTTTCTAGAAGACTTGTTGGCCAAGGGACCCTTTGCCATTACTACTGAAGCTTTCAGGAGCTATGCAACTGGTCGTGCAAGAGGAAAAATTCTTGGTCCAACCCAGGAGAAACACGTCCAATGTAAGTTTGAGGCGCCATTTGGTCATTATAGCTCTTTGTTGGTCAGCCATGGGATTGATCTCGTAAGTGGAGAACCATGCTGGGACCTGTATGAGTCGCGAGGTTGTATGTGGGGAGGGGGAGGGGGGATGCAGGTTTTGTAAGATACACTAGAGAGCAGGGTTTGATTTTAGCTGCTGTGGAAATGGAGGTCAATGAAAACAGCTCTTTTGACCTATCGATTTAGTTTTACGGCCCAAAATCGTTTATTTTTCTTATTAGTTGTAATCCTGAATATGTCTTTCTTAAAACGACCAAAAAATGAACAAGCTTTTATTATAATCTTTTGGAGCTTTTAGTGATTATACTAGTCACACCATTCAAAGTTTGCCTTCCAATGATAAGACAATTAGGCTTAATCAGTCCACTCCGACTCCGTCTTGATTATATCAGTTTTCAAAATTCTGGTATGGCATAATCCAATTATGAATTATGCAAAGCAAACCATGATTATTGATTAACTGCTACAATGGAAAAACAATCACAAATATATTTGGTTTGTTTTTTTCTAATCATGTCATGGTTGATACCATACGAATCAAATTTTTGCGGTCTAAAATAAAAGTAGTATGTTTCGGTCTTACACAGGGGCTAGTTCTTGAGCTTTTGCATGCATCACACATCTAGTCTATCAATGTTGAACATCTGCATTCTATCTTGAAAATAGTCGTAGATCTGACAATATTGTGTATGAGTGAAGATAGTTAGATTACCATAACAAATACCGCCCCACAATGAAATACGCACTATCGGCTTCTTGTAGTCTCTTCTCGATGTTATGGATCAGGCATGTCCCATCAAGGTGTGTTTTGCAGTTAGAGATTTTCATGGTCCCATACCTAGAAAACGAGCCAACAACGACTAAAAGATTCGAGAGTAGAATACTGTCCAATCTTTTCTCTTAATTAGTACAAGTTTGCGATCCATTGTGTTTAATATCTAACAATTTCATCTTGATTAAAGCTAGACCTAGTGGCAGACATAAGAAAACATTTTGTCGATGTCATTATATTATTATAAGTTATTTATCTTCTGAACATGTCTTAACTATATATCAAATTTTTATATTTTTATTATTAGACATTTCAAAATTGTGCTAAAAACGCTTATATATAGTAGATAAACGTTTTGTAAAATTTTTAGTGTGCATGATTAGTTTATTACAGTGTTTTCTATCAAAAAAAAAAATATAGAGTGGTATCATATCATATATCATATATATTATAAGTGAAGTAAAAATTTCGTTTAAAGCTCTCTCGTTGAATCTTAGAGTGGCTAATTATCCTTTACCCCTCTTTAAAATTATTTTTAATTTAAAAACAAAAAATTTGTTTACAACTAAAATCACGATTATAATATAGGTTGTAATAATATTAAATCATATCAAAATACATGATTTTATCTCAATCTGATCAAAATCTACGATTTTATCAAATCAAAAATCACGATTTTACAACTAAAATCACGATTTTTTTAAAACCAAAAATAAAAAACAAAACTAATTTTATTTAAATCAATTTTTATAAAAAAATATTAAAAATCGAAAATTATCATATATAATTATGTTACTCCATAAATCTTTAAGTAAATCTTACTTAATAAATACTTAGATATTGTTTTCTTTTTAAAAAAAAAATATTTATATGAATTATAAAAAAAACATTAAAAAATGAAAAATCATCATATATAGTTATGTTACTCCCTTAATCTTTAAGTAAGTCTTGATAAATACTTAGATATTGTTTTTTTAATAAAAATATATATGTGAATTATCCGATTTGCATAAATTATAAAGATTTTTCAACCAATTTTTTTTCTTCACTTACACGGTTGTAATGTTTGGCTATCATGTAAGCTATATATTTCGTGTGTTTCACATTAGTGATCTTGTGACTTCTTAAAAAAATAGTTTTTGTGCTTTCTAATTTTCTATTCGGTTGTTATTTTTGTTTTATATTTGTTTTCGTTAGCTCATGTAGATCTACATTCTTTTATATATATTAAGCGATACATTGTGTCTTCCCTTTTATAGCTCTTTCAAGAATATATTTTGTTCTGATGTATATGAGAAGTTGGATTATATTTATATTTTATAACTTCTTCTTATTAATAATAGCGTTTGATGTTTTTTTTTTTCTGTTTAAGAGGTGGTGTTTTAGCCAGACTTTCTTGATCGTTGATTGTTTAGTTTACTGCTATACCGAAGGGTAACATTTTTATTTTCTTTTTTGTGCTTTAGGTTTAGATTTGTGATTTTTTTATTATCTATCATATTTATGTTTTATATATTAGCCAGTTTTGATGCACTTTTCTTTCTCTTTTATTAGTTGGGGCTGAGTCGAACCTTTTTTTTATTTATTGATTCTTATCTGTTTTAAGTTTTGATTGTTTTTGTTTTTTCTTTCTTAGGTGCTTGCGTTTTATTGTTTCATCTTGCGATGCAACAGATTTCATTTGCTAGTGATAAAAACATAGATTATGGTCATGAACCGAACCAGTTCTCGGAGTCAGATAAAAGCGTTTTATATGTTTTAAAAAATTATTACAAAAGGATCATGTATTCTGTTTTGTGGTGTAGGCTCTTGGTGACGATTCAGAATGGTCTATAGGACATACGGTGTCGAAATCCCTCATGGCAATGAACGTGAGTTCACCTGGTTCTTGTGAAGGTTGCCAAGCTGATTGAACTGTTAGAATGTACATGAAACTTTAAAAGAACACATACAAAAACATAGGTTTAATCATTTGATTATGGATTATTATTTGATCTGATGAATCCTAAATTTATAACAGTTCAAAAGAAGCTTCGGTGAACAAGGTGCAGAACATGGTGCATTGTGGTCTCTGTTTTATCCAAGACCCCACCTGTCGCTGCCGAGAACAAAAGAAAACAAGCTAACAAGGAGTTTAGATCCAGCAAAAATGTTAGTCCACTTGGCATATTCTTACTCTCAAAGTTAGTTCTATTGATAATAATGATGATACATGAACAAAATTACTATTTTTTATTCGAACATCACTTTATTTGAATGGGCTTTGTGTGTGTGTTTGTCTCTTATGTCCAGTGTTGGGATATTTTTTGATATTGGTTTCTGGTTCCTTTATTTTACTTATGGGCAAAGACAGGAGAAAAAAAAATGTAACTATTTGTACTTTGATCTTTTGCACGTTTCTCCGACTGAAATCTTTTTCGTGTGGAGTGCTTTCATCTCATGTGTTTCCAGTTGAGTTTGAACTGTTAATTATAAAATGTTATTTTTGGATCAGAGTAAAGCTTCTCTTGCTTAAGTTTCACAAAAGATGTAAAATTTATGTTTAAGTAGCTAAAACTCTAAGTTTTCTTAAGTTTGTATGTTGGAAGGATTCAATTCCATCTAATTTTGTATTTTCTTTATTTTTTAAAATTATTTAATATGGTAACAAATAAATATTCTAGCACAACAATGTGAAAGAAATCGATGATAAATTATATACAAAAATCTGCAAATCTTGGACCGTGAAAATGTCACAACCCTTTTGTGGAGACTCCATTTTACTTAAAGTCTTATTTTGATATTTGTTTAATTTTTGATATTTTTGTTATTAGCATAATTAAGAAATTTTGAGATTTTTTTTTTGGGTATATATGTCTAAGCTCTTTTTTAAAGTTGATTACCCCGAAACAGTTTTGATTGTTCGAAAGGAGCAAGCTATAAAAGTTAATGCAGTTTTCTTATCTAACAATAAATATAACACATTTTTATGGAGAGTTTTAAGTTTGAAATATGTATTTATCTTTTTTCTCAACCTCAAAAGATATAGAGTCATAAAAAGTATGAAGAGTACGTAATATGAAAAAAAAATCATAAGGAGAAGAAGAATAAACCGTAAAAAAAAAGAAGACGAAGAAGATGAATGTGTTAAATAATAAAAAAAGATGTGAATGATAAATTTGAATAAGAAATATGGGAAGAAGAAAAAAAAAAGAATAAGACATGAAAAAAAAACAAGAAAAAATATGGACAAAAGAAGAATAAGGAAAAAATGATGAAGAAGAAAGAAAAAAATAATGAAGAGGAAAAAGTAGGAAACGAAAAACTAGAATTTATCTTAATTAAATTAGTTTGTGGACTATTCAGTTATAAAGTATTTTTTAAGTAATTAATTTTAAATTTTGTTTACTTTTTTAGTTAAATAGGAAACGAAAAACTAGAATTTATCTTAATTAAATTATGTTTTAAATAGTTATTTTAATTATTTTCAATTTATAGCATAAATTTTTTTTAAAACAAAATTTTTGGCCCGCGCAAGTCGCGGGCTAAATACCTAGTTGGTTGTATAAGTTAAAATCAACAGAGCATGTACATTGGTGAACCCCTCTTTAAGGTTCACCAGAATATTATATTATTATTTTTTGGTTTTTAGTTTGTGGAAGAACTTGTACCAAATTTTAGGTTTCATTAGTGAACCTCAAGCTTGGGTCCACCAATTTAAAATTTGAAATTTGAAATTTTGATAAATACATTTAAACACACAATTATTAGAAATCAAAATTACAGTTTTTTTTTGATATAACACATTGCAAGTAACACATTACATCTAAAATATTAAGATAGATATGTGTGTTTCAGTCAAGAATCCTAGAATAGGACTCGAGAAGATAATTTTGATATTCTACAAACATGTAACGAACAAAACATGGATACAATGGATACAATTCAGAATCCTCATATGCGTTAAATAAGCTGCAATGTAACCAGAAGAAGTTTTGTGAACAGTTTCAACAAGACATGGATACAATTCAAAGCCGCTCACTTTTGTTTTTACCAAAGCAAAACAGGGAAAAAGAGGGTTTACCTTTCAACCTCTTCCATTGCCATATCAGTAACAAGAAGTCCAACATCACCACGAAGCAGCTGAAACAACAATCCCACAACATGTGTTAATGTAACTGACAAAAGAAAGAGCGCGACAACAACCATCAGAAAAAGCAGAGTACACAACCTAAGAGAGTAGAAGTACAATGTTCTTTTTTACACTCACGAGGTTAAAATGTCGCCGATATCTAAGTAATGCAGGCATATCCAGTTTGCTAAGATCAACCTTCTGCGTTCAAGCCATGTTTTTCCTCATCAGTAACCCAAAACATTGAAATGAAAAATTCTTAAAAGTCCGAGGCATTACCAGGTCCCTACGAGGAGCCAAACTCAAGCTTTTTAAGTGTGAGTCACAAGATAAGGCCCTACACATTGTCTTATGAGATAACCGCACTGATCTGTGTCCTCTTTGCTTTGACTTATGTGGCTGCAACGTGTCCTCCATTGCTGCATAAGTCAATCAAAGAACATTGGAGTTTTGATACTTTGCGCGATGATATTACAGAATTTCGACAAGGAACCAATCTTACTTATATCTGAGGGGTTCCACTGCGTATGCTCGACTTCAATATCATTGTCTTCTTCGTTCCCTGTAGGAGCTTCAATGACACTAAGCGCATTCCTCTGCAACTTCACTTCTATTCCATTTGTCAAAACCTGAAAATTAAAAAGCATGAGGGTTAGATTAAAACAAATTGCAAGTCAGCTAAACAAGTAAAAGTTAGGGACTTTTTTTGAGAAATGGGAATGCCGGGAGACAAAAACTGGTGGATTTGGTATCGAAGCAGTCGCTATTACTTCTTCGTGAAAGTCATGGAACATCTCAGCAGCAAACCTTCATAACAAATAAGTCAAACTCTGATCATAAATTTCACAACATCAAGGGAGAAATGAAACTCTGATCTTATACGAGTAACTAGACCCTCGTATGGCAGATCAAGCGTCAACGTATGGGGTATAAAAAAATCACGATCAAACCAATGACTAGAAGAAGAAAAGAGAGATTAAAAAAAGGTAAAAACCGTATGCTTTCCACCACCGAGAACCTTGTGAACAGGCTTCTCTCTGCCAAAAAGGCGATATATCTTGGCCTTCACAGCCGAAGGCGAATCTGGTTTCTCGTACTCGGCTTCAAACAATGACGATGAATCGTGATGGTGAATCTTCTCGTCGATCTTCTCTATCAGAGATTCCTCCGCCGGCAAAGATTTCTCAATTTCTTTCGCCATTGATTATCGATGAGTTAAACAAATGAAAATGGTCGACCCAAAAAATACATTGTAAATATCTTTGGAATGGAGATAGCCATTATAAATTGTCCGAGAAACACAGCTCAATTTTCTGCCAATTACAAACTTACACGTGGTCAAGAGACCGTCTCTTTAAGTTCATCCTGACGAACCGGTTCATCAAAATTATATTTATTTTCTTTTATTTTAATTCGTTTTTGCATATGATTTTGGGCCATGAACTCCATCCAAACTCCTGGACATGGTCTTAGATTTAAAGTAGATATACATATTTAAGAAAACAAATTATTTTGAAAATTATGGAGTGATATTGATCTCTTTATACCCTATGTAATTAGGCAAATATATTTTTTTATAAGATTTGTGAATCTCAAGAATCCCTTGGAAGTTTTTTTTTTTTTTTTTTGGCAGCAATCTCTAGGAAGTTAATCAAGTTAACTTTCTATCGATGTTGTGTTGTTTATGAATTACACAAAAACTTATTGCTTTACTTTGTAGTTTTATGAATTGTAAGAGCAGCTTACATAAACTATGTTTTTTTATACTATTCTTCTCTTTTGAATATTTAAATATACGTTAGAGACTTGTTCTGCATTTGAAAAATGAGTGACGACATTAATACCCAAAATAGTACTCTGTTTCCTCAGAGAAGATAGGACTTGTGGACATACACTTTGTGTGATTCTCTTATTCTCTTATGTTACAATTCAATTAGGTGCCAAAGGTAAATGAATATTTTGATTTTCCAGCAGAATATATGCAAAAATTCTATCTAAAATCTAAAGTCAAACTACTTCATGTAATATTCCAAACACAAAATAACTAAAATTGTTGGTCAGAAGATATTAAATGCATTCCTAATAGCAACTAAACTATCATAATCAGCTACACATTGACATGCAAACTTCTCAAACTAGTATTACTCGTATAAAGCAGTCGAGAGGGACGTCATGAATTCCATGCATGATTCAGAGCTTATATCATAGGTTTCAAAATCAACAATTTTTTCATTTGGATCGTAACAATCACAATACCTCAAAATTTTGTCAGTACGATTTGTTGTTTACGTAACCTATAAGCAAACCTAGAGGCTAGAGCTCCTCAACTCAAGACTCAAGTAACCAATTTTGTGTTGGATCCACATGATTTCCTCTTAGTACGGATTCCAAATCATGAGTATATTGTCCTTAGTGGTGTATAACAAAGCCTCTTCATAGTGAAAGACTTCAATTATTGTGAAATAGAGTCCTTTAGGCCAATCAAGTGGACCCTTAAACTCTATTGATGGAGCAGCAACATAGGTATGTGCTCGCAGTCGTCTACTATGGCCAGGAATTGATGAACAGGTTTTGTAAATACGTAGACTTTGAAATTGACACCTATTGACCAAACCCTGAATTGTTTCAACACGAGAACCAAAGGCTGCTTTGCAGATTTATGAAAAATCATTCCGGTGAAGCCTTCTTTGAATAAAGCGTTCCATCGTTTGCAAGTAGGTCGCATGTCGCAAACTGTCTCATAGTTTTCACCAAAACTTTAGAGAGTATTGCCTCTAACAAATCCTGCGGTAGATTGGACATGAAAAGAAGAAAACGGCTTTGATTAGGATTTTGATTTTTTTTGTTCACATTCGCTCTAATCCATTCTTGTTTGTTAAAAACTATTTCTCCTTTTGAAGGACTCTTTTAATTTACAGTAACATAAAAAATGAAATTCTTGACTGTCAAATAATTTAACCATCATAGATTTCATATGAAACCGATATATAGTCATGTCAGAGGTAAGAGCTTAAGAAATATTAAAAACCGTCTAGACAAATGTAATGGAAATTAACCGATATAAAACTGAAATACACGATTCACATTTTGTTCGCACTAATATTGAACTTTGTCCTCATTGTTTCTTTGTTTTTCTTTTTAACTCCCCTTTTTTTTTGATTTTTTTTGGGTTTAGCAAATGACATTCAGATGAAAAGTAAAATATTAGTTTTAAGAAAATTAGTGACTCGTCGTTCCTGTATTGAAACATCTGCATTGAAAAATATATTTTAAGTATGTATTACTTACAAAATTGTACTTGTTAGTTATTACTTAATCAACAAGATATAACAATATTAACAACTAACAACTATAACTTGTCTATTTGTTCATTGGCCTATTTTAAGCTCATTCAGAGCTTGTTTCTTCCACGGGTTTTGTGATGCAGGGCATACTGTGGACTTGGGGCTCTGTTCGAGCCTCGTCAAGGGCTTTAGTTATTTTAATTTCGTTTTTACGTTATTATCTCGTTGTAAAGGATTAACTCATATCTGAGCTAGTTAGATTTGGTAGATCTTTTCTCGATCCTTCTGAACGATATTACTTGCTATCTCCATTTTGTAAATCACTTTGAATTGATATTGAAGTTTAAGAGCTTTTGAGCACTGTGAAGAGTATTCACACCTTTCGTTGAATTAGATCTCATTTCCGACTTCTAACTCAACTCTTTCGCAACTCGAGAACCTCGTTGATCTCTCGTTGTATTAAGTTTTCGCTACTCTATCATTTTGGGTCTGATGAAAAACGTATTCGTATTTGGAGTTGTCCAACCTCTTTGTGCATTGCCATATTTCTTTAATATCTGAATTAATTATGCTTCAGACACGTAGCTGCAGCCCTAGGAACTTGGTCTCCGCAAAAGAAAAAAAAATTAAAAACATGTAGAATGGTGTTGCAGTCGGTGCAACCATAGAGAGATCAAGGTTTATGTTTACTTTGATTTAGAAAAACATATGATAAGGGGATGAATGTGATACTTGCACTCTATATAATTGGTAAGGTTGCTAATTTGAATTTCAAGTTAAAGGGGGAATCATGGCAACGTACCACATGATAAAGTGATCCATTTGCAAAATAGTGAGAAGAATAATTGACTACACTTGAATAATGGAAGAAGATGGACGACAAAATGTGGAGAAGTTATATGTGTGAAATTAAGTATACATAGAGGAGTATTGATCATTTTCAAGATATCCCGAAAAATCAATAACAATAAACTTCCTTATCTTCTGTCCAAAACTCCACACGAGCATCTTCCTCTTATTTCATAGTTTATTTGTTACTTGCTAGACAAGGAATCCCTTGTCTGAGTAGTTTTTATTTTTTGGTTGAAGTCTGAGTAGTTTTTATGTTTCTTTTCATTGTTATTTTACACAAATGGGAAGAGCCGAAGAGGGAAATACTAATGAGAAGATGGTCGATAAAATTATATCAGATTCGTAAGACCACAATGTGTAAGAGAGTGAGAGAATGTTGGTGGGCTCAATGGATCAGAAAAGGAACACACACTTTGCATCCATTTCAAATCCATATTTTTCTCTTGACAGCATGTGTCAGCATCGATACATGAAACCACAAGAACACCCATTTTCATATTTAGCACAAGTGACTCTAGATGTTCTTCTCCCCAAAACAAATGTGTCTCCTTTCCTAAATGTGATTGCTTTTATAAAAACTCTAGATGTTTATCTTGGCATTGCCAACTTATATTATGTCCTCTATAGACTTCTAAAAACAAAACTCAAAAATGCTATATCTAAATTTTGTTGGAGCTCCCAAAAAAAAAAACATAAAGGATCACATTGGAAAGGTCTAGGATAAAATGTGTTTTCCGAAAGAAGAGGAGGACGGAGTAGTAGTTTTTTCATGTTGTCTTTGATTCTCTACTCAAACACACAAAAGACTCAAACAAAGATGAAGACAATCCACAAAAGAAACTGGCTATTGTTTTAGCAATCAACTTGAATGTAATGCAAAGAATAAAGGAATCATAATATATAGATAGATTCATTAAACTAATCAAACGACAGTGTCTATCAAACAAAAGTCAAAAACAGAAGAAAAAAAAAGAAAGAAGAGAAGCTGAAATAAATCACTTTCTTATTTTTTTTTGCCTCTACTGTTGGATTTGAACCAAACTTGGAACATAACTGAAAATAATAGAGGGGAGCGATGATACCTGTGTAGCTTCTACCAAAGGGTATTCTGTGTAATATTTATCAATGACACTAACCTACTCGCTCATTGTCTTAGAACTTGCGTTACAGCACACAGCCAATTTCTTTTCTTCGTCGATCAAAAAACTTGTGGGAAGATAAGAAATATAGTCGTCGTGATGAGTAGGTATATCCACTGTAAAATATAAGCTCCACAATGCGGCTTCAGTATCAACTTTATTAGTCATCCATATGTCCATCTTTAATGTACCCTTGCTCCGATGTAATACTGAAATTTTTTCATCTCTCTCAACTGATAGAGCCATCCAACCAAGATTCTGAAACTCTGGTAGACACAGACGTTTAAATCTCTCTCTTGTAAAATCAAAACTTATCAAGAAGTCAGAGTAGCCTGTTTTATCATAAGCAAGCCAGTATGCATTTCCCTTCAAAGACACACCCTTTGATGCTATGAGGCAGTCCAGAGCAATGACATCAAGAAGCACCCTCCATGAATCAGAGCTAAAATCATAAATTTGTAACCCAACAAATTCGTAATTTTGTTGATAACACCTCAAAATTTTATAGCTAAGGCTAAAGTTGTTGTTTTCGTAACCTAGAACAAACCTAAAGGGACTCTTGTAATCATTTTTGATTTAAATCCATCTAGTTTCCCCCAAACACGGGTTTCAAACCACGAGTCTATTGTTGTTGGTGGTGAATAGCAACAAACCGCCGCATTGAAAAAGTTGGAATATATTGTCTCGTTCAAGTGGAACCTTAAACTCTATAGATGGATCAGCGATGTTGAGATTGTTGCTCATTGAGCAAGTTCTAAATTCCTTCAACATGAGAACCAGAGACTGCTTTGGAGCTTTACGTAACTTCTTCTCAATGAATCCTCTGTCTTTGAGTAAAGCGTTCCAACCTTTGCAAGTAGTTCGTAAACGTATCAGAGATGTGACTGGAACCCTATAGAGTATCTCTTCTACCAATTCCAGAGGAATATGGGACATTATCACTGTGATCTTACCAAGGAAGAAGGAAACGACTCGGTGGCTCCGTAAGTAGAAATTAGGGTTTTGGTTTTTCACGTTTGCCTTGAAGGCTTGAACAAATCTTGTCTTATATATAGACAAACAAGAAACGATTTCTCCTTACTATTGTTACCTTTTCCTTTGTGGATCTGTTTATTTTTATAATTTTTCTTCCTTTTCAGTGAATTTTAAAAAGGAAACGCACATTGTAATATGTCCAAGATTTTCAAATATAACCCATATAGTCATTATTATTGTTGGCAAGCTCTTGGGGAAGATAAAAGGCGTGGCAAACTCTTCGAGCAAGATAAAAGTAGGTGGGACTATTTATTAGGTATTGGCCTTAGTTACCATGAAAATGGACATTTTAGCGCACAAAAAAAAAACACGACAAATTGACAAAAAAAAGAACAAAAAAGTAAATATGCAAGAAGTAGATATTGTAGGTGGCCTAATTAAGTTGCATAAGCCGTAACAACGTTTTGTGTGCTGATTCTCCGAAATCTATCCACGTTGGGATCAGGATTTCTTATATCTTTGTCTTTATCAAAAACCATGGCAGCTGTAACCGGAATTGACACTGAGGGGGTGGAAAAAATGATATAAAACAAAACAAAACTGAGGGTGGATGAGTTGCTTCGAACTCACTGCTAAAACACATTGCTTTTCCATAACACTGTCGTAACCAAGATCTCCATCTTTAATGTATCACATGGCTGAAATAAAACTGCAAACTGCCCTTCTCTAACACTAGATAGACTCACAGTTTCTTCAGGAATAGGCTCAAACGGCAGAGGCAAACGGCTTAAATCTCTCTTTTGTGAAATCAAAACAGGCTAAGAAACTAACGTCAAATTCTTTTTTTTTTTTCTGAATACTTCTACGTAGTAAGTACATATTTCCCTTGTGAGACTTGCCACGTTAAAATATATCTTCCAGTCTAGAGTGAGATCAAGAGCCCTCTATGAATCCGAGTAAAAGTCGAAGATTTTGAACTCAACAAAAGCTGCGCGAGTAAAGTCAATAAATATCAAGATTTTGTTCTCTCTTTTTGTCACGTTCTTGAACAAGACTATTTAGTCAATATTCAATATATAGTTAGTTATTTGTTTCTCATCATTCTTTTTGTTCACCATATTTTGACATCGTTTCACTGCCATGGGTTGGATCATGACAAAACTTGAGAAAACAGATACGTTTCTTTCACCAACTCATTTTAATGACTTAAGAAAACAGATACGTTTCTTTTATAAAGTCCGACACTTGGCAATTTAATAAGACCATTAACATCTGAGTTTGCTTTGATTGAATGGCTTCTTAGTTCCTGAATTGGTGGATACGATTAGCTCGGTTAACTTTGTCAACAAAAATAAAAGAAAACTAAAAACAAAGCACAATCCATCGGACTATCCAATGGCAACGGCTTACAACGAATTTGATATATATATTAGGCCGTTGCAACGAAACACGAGCATCTTCAAGCTAATTAGTATGGATTCGAGCAGATTGTGAGCCTTAGAAATTGCAGACGGACAATTTAGAATGTCTATATATGGGTCTAGTGAATGAATATCTAGCGTGATACTTTAAAAGTTACAAACTGGCTGTTGTTTTAGTTATAAAACTAGTGTTTACCCCGTGCCTAGCACGGGAATATTCTTTTCCTAACAATTAACCGATTTCAATTATTGTTATTTTTTTTCACAAAACCAAATTTCAGTTATATAAACACAACTAAAATTATCTGTATAAAACTTATCCAAATGAAATAAATGTAAACATACAAAAATATTAGCATGTGAGAAAAACATCATTCTACAAAAGCAAATGAAATCAAGAATCATTACATAACAGTGGAAAATAATTTAAGTAATCAATAACTACTTTATGTTAAAAAATTTCTAAGTACAAAATAAGGTTATACAGATTCCGTACTGAATGGTTATGGCTTTATGAGTTCGAGACATTACATTTCTCATAGTATAGTATCTTTCTGAATTTAGTGAAGATGATCTCTAGGAACACATATACTTGCAGCTTAACTACAACATCAACAACACAACACACTGGAAGTAATAATGACTCGGGAGGTTCCAGACCAAAACATATAGCAAGATCCAAAAATGATTTTAAAAATGATGAAGAGATATCCGGACTTACTCTTGGTGAAGGAAGTCCAGAGTTTCATATTACTCTTAGTGATCAATGACACGTTACAATTAAAATTACTTTCATAACTCACCTGGAAATTATAAGTTGAATATCCAATGGCTTTCAAGCTTTTCATCTTCCATTTTGTTTAGAAAGCTTAAGTTGGGAAACATGAGTATAATTCAATGATATCTTCAAATTTTTTCCTGCAAAAAAGAAGTCACATGTATTTTAGGTGAATATGTATATATATGATGAAAACTAAAAAAGTAACCTGCATAGAAGAAACCGTAGAACAGATTACAACAGGGAAGTACACTGCATAAAGTCTTCTCAATCCCTCTACGGATGATTAAAAGAAAAGTGACTAATGTCAGCTAAAGCAGAGAACACAGAGAGAACTCAAAAAACTCCATAAACCAGAAATACATTAATCAGAAGACAGTAAGGAATAAAGATTCGAAAGTTCTCACCTTTTCAGCCACTAAGAAAGCAGAGTAAAACCCAACACCAAACTGTCCAATCTATCCGTTGTCGGCACCAAGGTCCTTCTTTTCCTGAATAAATAGACACATCAAAACACGTCTAAGAACCTGACATGGAGTTTGATTTGTTTGCATCTAATTTTTCAGAGAGGTGAAAAAGAAAAAAAAAAAAAAGACCTTTAGAGCCTTCAAGAATTTCGAAGTGCCACTCTGAGCTATGGTTCCAAGGCTATCTAGAAGTTATTCCTTTGTCATTCCAATACCAGTATCACTGCAAATCCGAAACAATCTTTTTTAAGTAACCAGTTTTAATCTAATTATTTAATTTAATACTCAACTGAAAAAGAAAATGAGAATTCTCTAATTATGTTATGGTGACTATCAGGATCAGGCTTGATACGAATCTCAAGCTCACCACCATCTCCAAGCAAAGCAGGCTCCGTTACATTTAAGAACCTCAGCTTATCTAAAGAATCACTTGCGTTACTGAGTACAGACAAACACATCCAAATCAGAATTTGACAGAAAACGAAACAATTCAATTCCAAAATAATCCATTAGTAACACAAATGAAAACTGACTCACCTTAAAAGTTCCCTGAGGACTACCTCTTGTGACTGTATAAACAACGAACAATCAAATCCAACAATCGGCTAACCTGCTAATGAGATTCAAACAAAACTATCCAATTAAGAGTCTTGACAACAACAACAACAAACAAAAAGTTTCAAATTTTTTTTAATCTTGTGATAGATTAATGATCTTCTTTGCCATCATTCGATCAATCTTTAAATCCACTGATTGGTGCTTTAACAACAGAGCAAACCCAAAAACGAAAGTAGGAGGCGATACAGACATAGAAGAAGAGGTACCATCTGATTCATCAACGTCAATGGAAGGAACGTTGGGAGGAATCTGCAGATCGCGTAAGCGAAGGCGAGAACAAACCGCAGCCACCAGATTTCTTCAATTAGATTTCTTCATTGGAATTGGTGGAATTCGAAGAGAAATAGGGGTAAGAACCAGCCACAGAATAGAAAAAAACTGGCATAGATCTCTTTTTATTTTTATTTTATCAACAACTGGCATAGATCTTTTTCTGCAGTTAAACGGAAAAAAAGGAAATCGTGGAGGAAGAAGAAAGATCATGGACAGGAAGATGAAAAATCGTGGTTTTTGGAGAAACCGTCGATTCACTTTTTTTTTTTTCTTTAGAAATTATCATTTTAATTTATTTTTAAAGAAATTGTAAACAACAACCGTACTTTTTTTTTTTAACGAATTTTTTTTTAAATCATTTATTAACTAAAGCACATGACACGTGGCAGAATTTGATTCGCCAGATGACTTGTGCTTTAGTTAATAAAGGATAGTTGAATGTAATGCAAAAGGAAAGGACTCATAAAGTAACTTGTCATGTAACCCAAAAAAACACTTATCGGTATCTCTTTCTCAGTGTTGTTTCATTTTGTCTTTGACTTTCTACTCAAAACACAAAAGACACAAAACGAACTGGCTCTTCATTCAGTTATCACATTGATTGTAATGTAAAGAAGGCCACTATTCATTAAATTAATCAAACGACAGTGTCTACCAAACAAAAGTCAAATACAGAAAAAAATAAAAAAAAAGGAAGAGATGCTGCAATAAATCACTTTCTGTTATAAACAAATGGACTTCTAGTAACCGGCCCATTAACCATCAGGTTAATGTCTCATAGCCCATTAGAGTTTCTGATACATTAGTTATGTAATGTATATATACACTGCTTATGGAAACAATAAGAAAAGAGTTTTTCCCTTAATACGTTATCAGCACGAAGCTCAACTTCAAACGATCATATCTCTCAAAATACAAGGAGTTAGAAGGCGATCTACATATCATTTTGAAGCCCTGGAAGAGAAGAATCTAGTGGTGAAAACCGCTCCTCAATATGACACCAGACGCGCCCTCAAGACTCAAAACAATCGGCGATGTCCCACCTTAGCGGGTGATTCTTTCCAAGCGGTGGTTCCTCCATTGTAGCAGCTGTTCGTCCTCCTTTCTGGCCATCATTCTCAGGAGTTTCCAGTAGATATCTGTGGTCTTTAGCTCCCAGATCATAAGCCGGTCAGAAATCCATTTGGCGAAAAGATATGCAAGACAATATGGATATCATTGTGGATAGTGGATCGAGCCACACCATTCTAAAAGACAAGAATTACTTCATAAATTTAGTAATCAAAACCGCAAACATTAGCACTATAGCGGGTAGTTCGAGCCTAATAGAGGGCCATGGCCAAGCTAATGTGTTGTTATCAAATGGCACATATCTAGACATCTCTGATGCCTTATACTCACCCAGTTCTAAGAGAAACCTATTGAGTTTCAAAGACATAAGATTGAATGGTTTCCATATCGAAACTCAGGATGAAGGGAACAAAGAGTTTTTAATTATCACTAAAATGATAAATGGCCATAAACAAGTTTTTGAAACTATACCCGCCGTATCTACTGGCATTTACCATGCTAAAGTCAGTATGATTGAGGCTAATGCTGCTATCAAAGCACAGTTTTTAGATTACACTATTTGGCATGATCGCCTGGGTCATCCCGGTGCGAACATGATGCGTAAATTAGTCCAGAATTCTAAAGGGCACAGCCTTAAACCAAATGGTATTTTCCCTCAGCACCTCAAGTGCACAGCTTGCTCACAAGGGAAACTGATTACCTGACCTTCACCAGTCAAAGTGTCTAAAGAGACCTTGAACTTTCTGGAAAGAATCCAAGGAGACATATGTGGACCAATTCACCCACCTTGTGGGACATTCAGATATTTTATGGTCCTCATTGACGCATCGACCCGCTGGTCGCATGTCTGTCTGCTCTCTTCTAGGAACCAGGCTTTTGCTAGGTTATTGGCCCAAATCATCAGATTACGAGCCCATTTTCCAGAATTCCCATTAAAGACTATACGTCTTGATAATGCTGGTGAATTCACTTCCCAAGCGTTTAATGAATATTGTATGTCCATGGGGGTAAATGTTGCCATTTCGGCCAACTCTCTATCATCTTTCTTTGGCTGAGTGGCATGGACATCGTGATGGAGGACATAGCTTACGATCATCGGCTTTGGTGGAGCCCAGGGGACACTAGTTGGTCTCCCCTTAAACCAAGAACGGAACATTTTTTCGTCCTCTCGCTTTGTCCATTCCTTGATCTACGAAAGGTATTCAGTATTAGGATCAGAGGCATCCATAGCATGAGTAGTTAAAGCAAGTGAATGATTTGAAATTCGAGTTATTTCACGGAATAACACTCGTATATATTCCACATGTCCATACACAAAATGGATTAGCTGAATCCTTCATTAAATGAATTCAATGGGTTGCTAGACCATTACTCATGAGGTCACAACTCCCGGTCTCAGCTTGGGGACACGCAGTCTTACATGCCGCTGAACTAATACGCATACGACCATCTAGTGAGCACAAATATTCACCATCCCAATTGCTAACGGGTCATGAGCCAGACGTCTCCCATATTAAAACATTTGGGTGTTCAGTCTATGTACCCATTGCACCACCACAGAGGACTAAAATGGGACCTCAAAGGAGGATGAGAATATATGTTGGTTTTGATTCTCCCACCATCATAAAATATCTCGAGCCAACTACAGGAGATCTGTTTAAAGCCAGATATGCAGATTGCCGATTTGATGAATCGGTATATCCTAGATTAGGTGGTGAGACAGACAAGCTGGTAAAAGAACTTTCATGGAATCAAACATCCACACAAGGGCAAGATCCTCGGACTCTAGAATGTGATTCAGAGGTCCAAAGAATTATACATTTACAAAAGCTAGCTAATCAATTGCCAGATTCCTTTGCTGACCCGAACAAAGTTACCAAATCGTACATACCAGCTTGTAATGCACTAGTACGAATAGATGTCCCCTCAGGGAAAAGTCAAGTTGCTACAGAGTCTGACGCACGTAAGAAACGTGGCAGACCACCAGGTTCCAAAGATAAGAATCCCCGGAAATCAAAGAAAGGTGCAATGATTGAAACCGGGATTCAAGAGAACACGGATACAGCCTCAGCTGATACTTACCCTATCGAACCATCTCAAGAGGTTTGGGACGCCAAAACTCAAGGTTCTGAAGGGATTGATAATAATGAGATCTCAATCAATTATATCATATTCGGTTCTCTATGGAACAGAAAAGATGTCGACATCAATGAAACTTTTGCATACAAGGTAGCACTTGAGATTGCGCACACGCAAGAGGATCTAGAACCCACGTCTATAATTGAGTGCACTCGTAGATCAGATTGGCTGAAATGGAAAGAAGCCATAAACGTGGAGTTGAATAGTTTAAAGAAACGGAATGTGTTTGGTCCGATCTTAAGGACACCATTCGATGTTAAACCAGTGGGAAACAAATGGGTCTTTGTGCGTAAAAGAAACGAACTCGGTGAAGTCGTTAGATACAAGGCACGCCTTGTAGCACAAGGATTCTCACAGAGACCCGGAATCGATTATGAGGAGACTTATTCTCCAGTGGTGGATGCAACTACATTTCGATTCCTCATAAGTCTGGCCATAAGAGAAAACTTAGATTTGCGGTTAATGGATGTTGTAACCGCATATCTTTATGGACCACTGGACAGTGAAATCTATATGAAATTACCAGATGGTATTGAGCTCAAAGATAAGCATGCATCTCGTGATAAACACTGCATTAGGCTGAACAAATTCTTATATGGACTGAAACAAAGCGGACGTATGTGGTATAACCGGTTAAGCGAATATCTCATCAGAGAAGGCTACGAAAACGATCCGATCAGTCCATGCATCTTCATCAGAAAATATCAAAACAAAGGATTTGTAATCATAGCAGTATACGTGGATGACTTGAACATCCTCGGAACATCTGGTGAAATCGCCCAAACATTTGAATGCTTAAAAACAGAGTTTGAAATGAAAGACCTAGGCAAAACTAAATTCTGTTTGGGATTACAACTTGAGTACGTCAATGACGGAATCCTTGTGCATCAATTGGCATACACTGAAAAGGTACTCAAGAGATTCAATATGGACCAGGCCCACCCATTGACCAGCCCAATGGTTGTGAGGAGCCTTGGATTGGATAGTGATCCATTCGGTCCAAAGAAGGACGATGAAGAAATCCTCGGTCCTGAAATGCCATACCTCAGTGCCATAGGAGCATTAATGTACTTGGCTAGTCACACTAGACCAGACATCTGCTTTGCCGTGAGCCTCTTAGCTCGCTTTAGTTCGTGTCCAACTCAAAGGCACTGGAACGGTATTAAGCACATCCTTAGATACCTTCAAGGTACTAAGGACTTGGGATTATTTTATTCTAACCATAACAAGGATGGTCTAGTTGGTTTTGCTGATGCAGGATATTTGTCAGATCCGCACTGTGCCCGGTCTCAAACCGGTTATGTTTTCACGCATGGAGGAACAGTCATATCTTGGAGATCCATGAAGCAGACTATTGCCGCTACCTCATCCAACCATGCGGAAATCTTGGCCATTCACGAAGCTAGTAGAGAGTGTGTTTGGTTGCGGTCCATGACTCAGCATATCCGATCAGATTGTGGTATGGACGAAGATAAGGAGCCTACAGTGATGTATGAAGACAATGCAGCTTGTATCGCTCAACTCAAGGACGGCTACATCAAAGGTGACCGGACGAAGCATATTCTGCCCAAATTCTTCTTCACTCATGAGCTACAGAAGGATGGTCAGGTCAAGGTTCAGCAAGTCCGATCAAGCAAAAATTCAGCCGATCTATTCACTAAATCATTACCGACTTCTACACTCCGGAAGTTCATTCATCAGATAGGAATGCGTAGACTTAGAGATCTACAGTGATGCCTAAACCAGGGGGAGTAATGCGTGTTGTACTCTTTTTCCTTCACCATGGTTTTTCCCACTGGGTTTTCCTGGTAAGGTTTTAATGAGGCAACGTTCCCCAGCGCATTATAGAGATCCCGGTTTTGTGACAGGCACGGTTACCTTGTCCAAGGGGGAGTGTTATAAACAAATGGACTTCTAGTAACCGGCCCATTAACCATCAGGTTAATGTCTCATGGCCCATTAGGGTTTCTGATACATTAGTTATGTAATGTATATATACACTGCTTATGGAAACAATAAGAAAAGAGTTTTTCCCTTAATACTTTCTTATATTTTTTGCCTCTACTTGTTGGATTTGAACCAAACTTGGAACATAACTGAAAATAATAGATGAGACCGATGATACCTGTGTAGCTTCTACAAAAGGGTATTCTGTGTAATATTGATCAATAATTGTCTTATTAGAACTTGCATAACAGCACACAACCACTTTCTTCTCCTCGTCCATCAGAAAACTTGGGGGAACATGACAAGAATATCCACGAAGAGCAATATCCACTGTAAAGAATTTGCTCCACTGTAAAGAATTTGCTTCAGTATCAATTTCATTAGTTACCCATATGTCCATCTTTATCTATCAAAGCTCCCATGTAACACTGAGAGTTGTTCTTCTTTGACACCTGATAGAGCCACTTGACCAGGATTCTGAAACGCTGGAAGACAAAAACGTCTAAAACTCTCTCCCGTAAACTCAAAACTTAGTATGAATTCTTCAGAGTGGCCTGGTTTATCATAAGCAACCCAGTAAATATTTCCCTTCAAAGACACACCATTTGACGATTCTATGTAGCATTCAGGAGCAACGACATCAAGAACCCTCCATGAATCAGATCTTAAATCATAAATTTCAAACCCAAAAAATGTGTTGCCTAGGTATGGCCTTAGTGTTGGATTTTGAAACAGAACAACTCTGTTTTGAATGTTTTGTGTTTCATTTGTGAGTTTCAGATTTTAGAGAGAGATCAAGCTTTTGGAATTGTTTTCATTACTCCATTACCATACATACTTCTCAAAGACTTTTACAATTTTATATGGAACTAGCTCACCAACTCTCTGCAACTCTCTTACTCCTAAAGACAATTAGCGGCCAACTTTTTGACTTTAGAAAAGACTGCAACTGTTTACCTACTGTTCTAACAACTCTGCAACAAACCAAACTACCTTAGTTAGATTTCTTTTAGTTTGGTTTGAGCTCAAAATGGCATTTACTCAACACTCCCTCTTGCCATTTTGTCCCTAAAACCAATCTTACTTCGAATTTACTTTGAACCGCCAAAGCCTTGGTGAATGTATCGGCCAATTGTTCTTCACTTCTGCAAAATCTGAGCTGAATATCCCCATTCCTCTCATAGTCTCTTACCACATGATACTTGATCTGAATATGTTTGGTTCTTCTGTGTTGAACCGGGTTCTTTCCAATAGCTATAGCTGATTGGCTGTCACAATAAATTGGTACTCCCTCTTGAGAGGTAATCCTCAAGTCTTCAAGTAAGCGTCTTAACCACAGAGCTTGGTTTGCAGCAGCACACAATGCCATGTACTCAGCCACTGCTGTAGATTGAGCCACTGTATCTTGTTTGCTTGTTTGCCAAGTGAATATTCCTGATCCAATGCTGAAACAATAGCCAGTAGTTGATCTCATATCTTCCCTACATCCTCCCCAGTCACTGTCGGAATAACCGATCAGTTTTGGTTCTGCAATTCTGGTGAAAAACAAACCCATACCAGTAGTTCCTCTGATATATCTGAGTACTCGCTTAGCTTCCTTGAGATGTGCAGCTTTAGGTTCCTTTAAATATCTGGAGAGATAAGATGCAGAGAACATTAGATCAGGTCTTGTTGCTGTCAGATACAGCAAACCTCCTACCAAGCTTCTGTAAACTTTGTTATCTGCAATTTCTTCATTTCCTTCATTTTGGTATCGTCGTTGTAGAACCAGAGGAGTAGGCATGATGTTGCATTCTTCCATATTGAACTTTTGCAATAACTTCTTCGCATATCCTTCTTGAGACAGAGATATTCCTTCCTCAGTTTGCACAATTTCCATTCCTAAGAAATAGTTTAGTAGACCCAAATCAGACATCTCAAACTCGTTCTTCATTGATGTCTTGAACTCATTTACCATATCTTCATTATCTCCTGTGACAATAAGGTCATCTACATAAATGCACACTACAAGAAGCTTTCCATTAGTTTCTTTGGTGTAGAGAGCATGGATCATTCTCGCTTCTCTTGAAGTTTTCTCTTTGGAAGAATTCATCAATTCTGCTGTACCAGGCCCTTGGCGCCTGTTTCAACCCATATAAGGCTTTGTGAAGTCGAAGTACATAATCTTCTTTTCCGGTTGCTTCAAATCCAAGAGGCTGCTCTGCATATATCTCTTCCTCAAGTATTCCGTTTAGGAATGCAGATTTTACATCAAGTTGGAAAAGTTTCCATTTCTTCTGAGCTGCAACTGCAAGAAGAAGCCTAATGGTTTCATGTCTAGAGACTGGTGCAAAGGTTTCCAGATAGTCTACACCATGTTGTTGAGTGAAGCCTTTTGCAACTAGCCTTGCCTTGTGTCTTACTACTTCTCCTTTTGCATCAGTTTTCAGACGATAAATCCATTTTACTCCAACGACATTCTTGTTTGCAGGTCTCTCAACTAGTTCCCAAGTATCATTTTTCTCTATCATTTGTATTTCTTCTTTCATGGCTTCTATCCATTTTGAGTGTTTAGCTGCTTCTTCAAACTGAGCTGGTTCTTCAATTCCACTATAGCATCCTTCAACTATTGCAGAGTATTCTACATCCGCGTAAGGAGCAGTGAGTAGGATGTCTGCAATAGATCGAGTTTTCCTGTTTGGTGAGCTTGAGCTTTCTCCTTGAGTTCTGATGCTTCTACTCTGGTCTGTGTTTGGAGAGGTAATCGGTTCTTCCACGAAATTACCAGGAGTTGGTGCAGTTTCTTCTTCTCTTTCATCTGCTTCAACTAGAACACTGCACTCTTTATAACTTCCTTCTTGTTCCAGTCCCATTTACTATTTTCATTAAAGATAACATCTCTGGAGATGTCAACTTTTCCTTCTTCCAACAGATAGACTCTATAACCCTTTGTTTTAGAGCTGTATCCAACAAAGATAGCTTTCTTCGATTTGTCGTCCCATTTCTTTCTCTTTTGGTCAGGGATGTGTACATAACAGATGCAACCGAATACCTTCATGTGCTTTACAGATGGTTTTGTTCCGTTCCAGGCTTCAAGAGGAGTCTTGCTTCTGAGTGCTCTTGTTGGTGTTCTATTTTGCACGTAAGCTGCATTATAAACCGCTTCTGCCCAAAATTTCAGAGGTAAGTCTTTTGCTTTGATCATTGCTCTTGCCATCTCCACCAAACTTCTGTTTCTTCTTTCAGAAACTCATTTTGTTGTGGAGAGTAGGCTGCTGTCAGTTGTCTTTCAATGCCATTTGCTTCAACGAATCTTGTGAATTCTCCAGATAAGTACTCTGATCCTCTGTCTGTTCTCAGTTTCTTGATCCTGCAGTTTGCCTGATTTTTGACAAGGCTCTTGAACTTCTTGAAGGTTTTGAACACTTCTGACTTTGCCTTGAGAAAATAAACCCAAACCATTCTGGTAGCATCATCAATAAATGTAAGAATGTACCTGCTCCCACTGAAAGATTCGTTTTGCATTGGTCCACAAAGGTCGCTGTGGATTAGTTCCAGCTTTTTTGTTGCTCGGGTTTTGGATTTTTTTGGAAAGAGTCTCGACTGTGCTTGCTTAGAATACAGCTTTCACATCCTTCTTGATTTACGCTGAAATTTGGGAGATATGCAACCATGTCTCGTGCCTGCATAATCTTCAAGTTAGTGTATCCTGTGTGACCAAGTCTTCTGTGCCACAACTCTGCACTTTCTTCTTTTGCAGACATTGCACTTTCTTCTTTTGAGTTCCAGTTGATGTGGAAACTCTTTTTCACCATTGGTATTTCACCTATTTTTCTTTTTAGTCGATCATGAATGATGCAGATTTCTCCTTTGAATGTAACTTGGTAGCCGTTTGAAATCATTTGAGGAATGCTTAGAAGGTTTTTGCCAAGTTTTGGTACAAGGAGAACATCTCTTATGATTCTCTTACCTTTCTTGGTCATCACTTCAACATTTCCTTTTCCTTTTGATATCAATACAGCACCGCTTCCAACTCGTATTGGAACCTTGATGCTTGTGTCGATTTTCACAAATATCTTCTCATTTGGGGTCATGTGGTTTGTGCAACCACTGTCTATGAGCCATCTGCTTTCTTCTTCTGATTCTTTGTCATCTTGTCTCGCTGTGAACATGTGTTCATCTTCTCCATGTTCTTCTTCTTTCTTCCTTTCTTTTCTTTCTTCCTTTCTGTTTATTCTCTTCTTCTCTTTCCGGCATCTTCTTTTGACACCATCTTGTTCATTCTGGTTTCTTGAACCATGGCTTCGGTTTCTCTTTCCTCAGCCTTCTTCTTCTTTGAGCCAGATCCAAAGATCAAATTGAGCTCTGATACCATGTTGTGATTTTGAAACAGAACAACTCTGTTTTGAATGTTTTGTGTTTCATTTGTGAGTTTCAGATTTTAGAGAGAGATCAAGCTTTTGGAATTGTTTTCATTACTCCATTACCATACGTACTTCTCAAAGACTTTTACAATCTTATATGGAACTAGCTCACCAACTCTCTGCAACTCTTTTACTCTTAAAGACAATTAGCGGCCAACTTTTTGACTTTAGAAAAGACTGCAACTGTTTACCTACTGTTCTAACAACTCTGCAACAAACCAAACTACCTTAGTTAGATTTCTTTTAGTTTGGTTTGAGCTCAAAATGGCATTTACTCAACACTTAGTAGGTCACACCTCAAAATTTTGTAGGTATGGCAAAATTTGTTGTTTTCGTAACCTAGAAAGAAACTACTCCAAAGGTATCTCTCATTATCAGTTTTGGGTTGAATCCATCTAGTTTCCTCCAAACAAGGATTCCAAACCACAAGTCCATTGTCCTTGGTGGTGCATAACAACAAACCGCTACAGTGAAAAACTTGGAATATATTGACTTGTTCGAAATAATAATTTGGAACAAGTGGAACCTTAGTTTCATTGGACGATGGATCAGCGAAGCTGAGAGTCATGACGTTCATTGAGAAAATTCTAGATTCCTTCAACATGACTAATAGACCCAGGGACTGCTTTGGCGCTTTAGAAAAGTGCTTCTCAGTGAATCCTCTGTCATTGAATAAAGCTTTCCATTGTTTGCATGTAGATCGTAGTCGTATCAGAGATATGGCTGGAACCCTAGAGAGTATTTCTTCTACCAATTCAGACGGAAGATAAGACATTATCAGTGTGATCTTTTAAGGGAGAAGGAAACGACTCGGCTCGGGGCTCCGTATGGGAGAGGATGAGATACTAGGGTTTTTATTTTTACGTTTTCCTTGACCAATAATCTCGTCTTATAAATAAACAAACAAGACACGACTTTTCCTTACTACTTTTACCTTTCCTATGTGGATTTGTTTATTAATTTTACCTTTTTATCCTTTTCAAAATGAATTTGAAAAAGGAAACGAAGCACGTGTGATATGTCTAAATCATATAATATCAACATCCAAGATTTTCAGATTTCAAATATAACCCATATTCATTGTTATTGTTGGCAAACTCTTGGAGCAAGATAAAATCAGGTGGGACTATTTATTAGGTGTTTGCCTTAGTTATCATGACAAAGGACATTTTAGCACAAAAAAAAACACATGACAAAAGAAAGAACAAACAAGTAAATATGCAAGAAATAGATTATAGATGGACTAATCAAGTAGCACTAAACTTGGAACATAGGAGCACATAAGCGGTAACAACGTTTTGTGTGCTGATTCTCCAAAACGGTTCCACCATTTTTGATTTTTCGTGATGGTAGTTGTTCTTGCAAGGACTATTGGTAGTGGATTAAGCTTTATGAATTGAAAATGTAAAATAGCTAGCGGTTCTCATTCCTCGGTATTACAACGTATAGACAGGTTTGTCAGCAGTTGAACTGCAAGAAAGGTTGGCTAACCTCTCAGGAGTTATTGAAATGTTGGTGAGATGAAAGACACAATTGGAGGCTTTAGAGCCATGGTTCTGTCTTTTTCACTAACTCACATAAATGACTTGAGGAAACATATACGTTTGTTTTAAAAAGTCCATTACTTGGCAATTTAATGGGACCATTAGCATCAAAGTTTCCTAAGGGCATTATTTGAGTTTCTTTGATTGAATGGCTTCTTAGTTCCTGAATTGGTTGATATAATTAGTTCGGTTAACTTTGTCAACAAAAAAAAGAAGCTAAAACAAAACAGGGGTTGTACAATCCATAGCATTATTCAATCCATAGTTATCTGTATCTCTTTCTCATTGTTTTTCATTTTGTCTTTGATTTTCTACTCACACACAAAAAGACACAAACAAAGATGAAGACAATCCACAAAACAAACTGGCTCTTGATTCATTTATCAACTTGAATGTAATGCAAAGATCGAAGAAAGGAATCATAACAGATTAATTCATTTAATCAAACGACTATTAATGTCTACCAAAAAAAAAAAGTCAAAAACAGAAACGAAGAAAAAAAAGGCAGCTATATAATCACCTACCTACTTATTGTATCGACTAGTTTCGTTCTTTCTTATTGCTTCTACTTACTGGATTTGAACCAAACTTGGAACATAACCGAAAATCAATGGGTACCATGATACGTGTGTAGTTTCTACACAAGGGGATTCTGGGCAATATTTACCAATAATGGATTCAATCTTCCCACTTGGATCAAAACGTGCATTACAGCACAAAACCATTTTCTTCTCCTCGTCGATCCGAAACTTCTGGGAACACGAGGAATAGGTATATCCACTGTAAAAGATTTGCTCCACAACGCGGTTTCAGTATCAATTTTATTAGTCACCCATATGTCCATCTTTGATATACGATAACTTCGATGTAACACTGAGAGTTGTTCTTCTCTAACAACTGAGAACCGTCCAATCAAGACTCTGAAACGATGGAAGACACAGACGTCTAAATCTCACTCTTGTAAAACCAAAACTTAGTAAATATTCAGAACAGTCTCTAACAACCAAAGCAATCCAGTAAGTATTTCCACTCAAGGACACGCTTTGATGTTGTTTGTCGAGATCAACGTTATCAAGAAGTACCCTCCATGAATCAGAGCTAAAATCATAAATTTCACACCCAAAAAGTTTGTAATCTTCTGTGTAACACCTCAAAATTTTGTAGCTGTGACCAAAAATTTTGTTTTGGTAACCTAGACAATATTTAGAGCCTCGATATCTCTTGTAATCAGTTTTGGGTTGGATCCATCTGGTTTCCCCCAAACACGGATTCCAAACCATGAGTCTATTGTCTTTGGTGGTGCATAACAACAATGGCAATAGTTTACAACGAATTTGGTATATATATACTAGGCCGTTTTAACGAAACACCAGCATCTTCAAGCTATATATGTTTTTACAGGTCTTGCGGATTCTAGCAGATTGTGAGTGTTGTGATATTTGAATCCTAATAGAGTTCGACTTTCAGATCTATTCCATTGTTGCTGATCTGTGTTCTCTGTTTTGTGTTTGTTTAGATGAGAAAACAGAGTACGAGACGACACAGAGATTTACAAATTCCCAAGGCCAAAGAACCGGCCAAGGTACGTCTTGGTGAGCGCAAAACCTCGCTCACTAGGCAATCACTAGAATGATGTTCAGAGTACAAGAAACCAGAAGAAGATCCTAGAGCTATTACACCGAGAATTATCCGAGAACAGAGGTAGAAGATGATACACTCTCTCTCTTAACCTATTCTCACTCTAGATCCTTTTTCTTTCTTATGCTTGTAACTCACACTTCTAGAATCTTCCGTATGCTCCCTTATATTTGTGCAGATCCAGCTCATCATCTTGAGCGTAACCGATCATCGCCTACGTAACAACCTTATCGCAGACTTGCACAGATATTTTCCTGAGCAACTAGACTTCTGGGTCTTAACCTGTTGCAGCTCTCCTTGGGCCTTATCAAGATAGTAACTGGCCCAACATCTACAACAGCCCAAAAAACATCTGAATGTGGACCGACATTCACATTCTCCACCTCGATCCTCATTCAGACAACACCAGATACACTTTACTGTATCAGACCTGTTCCGACAAACTCACCGAAACCCTAGCTCTTCACCGAGCTAGATCTAGCCCCATTCCGAACTAGATCTGACCTCTAAGTACCAAGAGGTCACTTCTCCCATCTTCAAATTTCTTCACCGGCAGAGACTTCGTTAACAAATCAGCGGGATTTATTTTCGTGTCAATCTTCGACACCACAATATCACCATCTTCTATCACATCTCGGATGAAGTGATAGCGATTCTGTATGTGCTTCTTCCTCTCATGGAAGACACTATTCTTTGCCAAGCAAATCATGCTTTGGGAGTCGCAGAACATCTCAGCAGTTCTTTGTGGAAACCCAAATTCACTGGTAACTCTCTTTAACCATAGCGCTTCTTTCGTTGCTTCGGCTAAAGCCATGTATTCCGCCTTTGTCGTTGACAAGGCTACAATTTGTTGCAGTCCCGATCTCCAGCTTACAGTATTCCCACCTACTTAGAAGAAATACCCAGTGATTGATCGTCTTCTATCCAGGTCAGATGCATAATCACTGTCACAATACCCTTTCACTTCAAACTTATCCGATCTCTTAAATGTTAACTTGAAATCGGATGTACCTTTCATGTATCTGAGTATCCATTTAACTGCTTCCCAATGGTTTTTGTTAGGTGAACTCATAAACCGGCTAACCAGACCAACTGCATGAGCAATATCAGGGCGAGATCCCACCATGGCGTACATCAAGCTTCCGACTGCGTTTGAGTAAGGTATGTTCCTCATTTCATTTCAAGCTCGGCTTCCTTTCTATCATCCTGATTAGTGCTAGATAACTTGAAATGACAACCCATAGGTGTTTGAACTGCTTTAGAGTCCAACATACCAAACCGCTTTAGAACCTTTTCGATGTAGGCCTCCTGTGATAACACCAGAATTCCTTTCTTCCTATCCCTGATAATGTCCATACCTAGGATTCTCTTTGCAGGTCCTAGGTCCTTCATTTCAAATTCCTTGCCTAAAGTCTCCTTAAGCTTCTGAATTTCTCTTAAGTCCTTAGCAATCACAAGCATATCTTCCACATAGAGTAAAAGATATACCAGATGCCCTTTGCCATAAGACTTAAAATACACGCAGCTATCATACTGACTCCTTGAATAACCTTGAAGCTTCATGAACTGATCAAACCGTAAATTCCACTGTCGTGGAGACTGCTTTAACCCATAAAGAGACCTCTGAAGCAGACAAACCTTATCTCCTTTAACATAACCTTCGGGTTGTCCCATGAGTATCCTTTCGTCTAAACTTCCATGTAAGAAAGCCGTTTTAACGTCCAGCTGTTCCAGTTCATAATCAAAATCAACTACCATGGAAAGCATTAACCAGATAGTTGTATGCTTTACCACTGGAGAGAAAACTTCATTATAATCAATCCCCTCAACTTGTGAATAACCTTTTGCCACTAACCGAGCTTTATACCTGGCTCTTCAACTCCTGGAATTCCTGGCTTCAGTTTAAACACCCATTTACACCCAATGGTTCTTTGCCCTTTTGGTCTGTCTATCAGTTTCCATGTGTTGTTCTTGTTTAACGAACACATTTCCTCATCAGTGGCTCCTCTTCAAAACTTTCTTTTATTACTCTTCATAGCTTCTTGAAAGGACTTTGGTTCCTCTTCTTCTGTTAGTTCTGCCATGATTAGAGCATAAGCTGCCATATCAGTGTCATCGAATCTACTTGGTGGCTTGATCGTTCTCCTTACCCTATCCCGAGCCAGATGATAACTTCCGAGGTCAGGTGTTCTGACTCAGAATCCGAACCTTCTTCTTCAATGTTATCTTCTATTTCAGCGTCTGAGATAACTCCACCTTCATTAGAAGAAGCTCCACCTTGAGGTTCAATATCCACATTTTCTTTATTTTGTAGGACCAAAATGACCTTGTCCTTTTCCTTTTGTGTCCTTGTGAATGAACCTCATTGGTATGATTTTCAAAGTCCTTGTAGACAACTTCCTCACAGAACGTTACATCTCTGCTGATAACGCATTTTCTGTCCTCAATACTCCATATTCTATATCCTTTAACCCCTTGGGGATAACCGACAAAGACTCCTTTCTTTGCTCTGGGTTTGAGCTTTCCCTGATCCACATGAAAATTAGCTAAGCAACCAAACCTTTTCATATGAGAATACTCGGGTTTTCTTCTT